CCATAAGTCAGCCTAGAAGTGGAAGTCATGAGTCTGCTCCGAATGTCCTTATGTCATGTTAAAACTAGATTTATTAGAGATGTATATTAGAGAGAAAAGAGTGCGTGCACCTGTATGGACTGTTTTAAGACCTTAAGCATTAATAACGGACTTTGTTCGCTAGCCCCCCCTTTTTTTTAAATTTGTTAATAAATATTTTATTTTAAGACATGTACGAACATGTGTTCAACATGTCAACTGTGCTACTTAAATTTTTAATAAAATATATTATGTCTTTTCAATTTTTATACAAATATGTCGTGCAGATTTTATATAATAAATTGCATTATATATTGTATTATATAATAACTACAAAATAAAATATTCAATATACATTTTACCTATCAGTGCAAGCATATAACTGTCGTTACCACAAGTTGAGATAACATATATAAGAAAGTGAAAGGTATCTTCCAAATTTTCGTACAATTCCATTAGTTCGCTGTGCCTGTTCATTGAGCCGACGAATTACTTTCAATAAATTTGCCTCGGTGTCCGGTTCGTTCGCAAAAGTTTTAAATTTGTTTTTGAGCACCTCGAGTTGGCCGGTGAGATGTATCATGATATTAAAGAAAAAGCAGTCCGCGATACATAATAAGACGGATAATATCGTTACTTGAACGATCTGGATATATAGGCAAAAGTATTGCGCAAATTGTGAACCCGTGATCAAGTTACCCAACGGACTAGATGGATACATGGGCATCCAATTTGTTGTATTAACTGTAAATTTAGGAGAAAGGAAAATGTCAAAAATAATGTTACAATAGTTTAGTGTATTAAATTACAAAACTAAGTTAACAAGTATACCATAACAATAAATACAATTAAATTTTACCATCCACTAAATTTTCGTCCGTGAATAATATCTTCAGATTTATGAAAATGATGACTGATATAAAAGCGCCACAATAAAAGAACATATATAGTGAGTATAATATTACGCAAGGGTAAGTATTCTAGAACTATCCGCATGTTTCTTCATAAACTTCTTAGTATCTTTATTATCTTTAGCAGATAACCAATCATCGATAGCAGCGTTAATGTTCGTTGCCAATTTTTTTTTCGAATGGCGGTAAGACAAACCTTTTATGCATGATTGCGACCGTCGTAGACACAATAAGGTCTGTTACACATTCTATATTTAAGCATCCTTACTGCCTCAGAAAAGATCTATTATAATGAGGGGTAGTATCATAAACTAAATAACAAATAATATCTGCACAAATGCTAATAAATATAAAAAAATAATAGTAGATGCAAATTATTTTTTCACGTTCTTGAAGAAATTAACAGCTGATGTTTCAGCAACATTGGGAGCTTCTTATATATCTTGGCATATATTTAAGAACATTTAATGCATTTTTTATGCGAGTTACCGATTGGAATAGGGAACTATTTTGCCACCGCGGAGTTCACTCCGCGCCGAATTCAGCGGTGCACGCACTCGATGTTCAAATTTCCGACCAATCGACTCGACGAGGTTCACCGAAGCCGAAGCACGCCGAAGGTGGCCGACGCGCACCACGCGGACGATCGGGCGCGAGGATTCGAAATTCGAAATCGCCGCCGAGGCGAAACCGAGCTGGTGCCAGGTACGCGGGGGGGGGGGGGCGATTCCTTTCCCCGCCGAGAGTTTAGGCGAAAATGAACGTTTGACGGGACCGCTCGAATCGTTCGAATTCGCCACTATTCGCCAGTCGCCCGTAGGCCGTAGCAGTCGTAGTCGTAGCATGCGCGTGTAGCAATTTAAAGATGGCGTCGCCCTGGTCGCGCATACCGTGGACCCGGTGGACTTCCTTGGCGAAAGCGAGCAGCTCGAGGTGCGTGTCGCGACTCGCGACTCTCGTGTTCGCCGAACGGTACGCTGGAACTAGGACGTTCCATTCGTATCAGCAACAGCAGCAACAGCAACGGCAGCAGCAATGCGGACAAGGATTCGGATTCGAAGGCGGTGGAGCGAGGAAGCTCCTAACCTGTACCGCGTTCGTCTCGGCGGCGGGTCTTGGCTATGCCTTGTACAACTGGAGGGATGACGTCCGCCAGGGAATCGAAGGTCTAAACCGTTCTGTTGTTCACGCTCTCCCATTGCCGCCGTCCGACGGCGGTCAGAACAGGGACAAATACAATTTTATAGCGGACGTGGTGGAGATAACTGCGTCAGCTGTCGTGTACATCGAGATCTGGCATAACAATACGTAAATGACCCGTTAGCATAATGTAGTATTTCATATTTATGGTATGAAGTGCGTACTAACTTACTGCCTTGTAAAACAGCATAGATTTTTTCACGAAGAAGCCAGTTACTACCAATGGATCGGGATTTATCGTCAGTCAGGATGGTTTAATACTGACAAATGCTCATGTCGTAGAAAATAATAAGCCTAACACAACAGTGAAGGTAAACGTGAGTCCCCTACGAGTTCCTTTGTCCTTTCCAAGCATCCTGTGTCACAAATAATATTAGTATCCTGCAGTTTAAAATTTTTTTTAAAAACCTTGAATCTACCTTCTTCGATTATTATCTGATAGAATTTATGTTAGTAATTAATAAATTATTTTTATCTAAAATTATCTTTACATCTTTCACATAGGTACGGCTTTATGATGGTAGTACGTATACTGGAATAATAGAAGACATCGATTTGAAAACTGATCTTGCTACTGTGCGAATAAATAAGGTAAGACGGGTAACTTTGTTATTCCAATTTATGCATAAACGGTAATAGTGAAATATTTGTGATTGTTAATTTGTACTTTCAAATTGTATAGACCAATCTACCGGTAATGAAACTCGGTTGTTCGGCCAATATCAGACCAGGAGAGTTTGTAGTAGCTATTGGTTCTCCATTGACTCTTAGCAACACAATAACAAGCGGAATAGTGAGCAGTGTAAATAGACAAAGTCAAGAGATTGGTATAAATAACCGACGTATGGGATACATTCAAACGGATGCGGCAATCAATGTTAGTAACTGTCAGTTCTGGAGTAAATATCGAGTGTTACGCCATCATTTCATATAATTAGTGAATCACATTTCTCTCTAGTCTGGAAATTCGGGTGGACCTTTGATGAATTTGAACGGAGAGGCGATAGGTATAAATGCAATGAAAGTAACGGCCGGCATTTCGTTCGCCATACCTATAGACGACGCGAAAGAATTCTTGAAGAAAGCGGAATTAAATAGGAAAAACAAAAGTAATTCGAACTATCAGTTTATTCCAACAACATGAACGCTGAGGATACTGATTACATGTTATTTTTACAGACGTAACGCTTAGAGAAGCACCCAGGAGATACATAGGCATCACGATGTACACTCTGACTCCAGAATTCTTACATGGGTTGCAACATAACAACAGTGAATATGTAAACATTCAGCATGGAGTTCTTGTGTGGAAAGTAATACCTGGATCTCCGGCTTTTTGGTGAGTCATGTAATACAGAAACATTGCATTATCTTAAATTTTAATTATACGAGAATTCATCAATTTGCAAATTATTTTTTTCTTAAAAATATAGTATTAATAATATGAGTTAGAAGTGAGAAACCGGCTTTTTACAAAATGAGCATCAGATAGATTACAAGTAGTAAACAAAATAGATGAGAATAGAAATGACAAAATAATATTTGAATATACTTTATCGAGATTAAAATTTGACAATTAATTATAAAAATACTTGATGTTCAAGAGATTGCAACGAATAAAACGAGGAAATTTATTTGTAAAGTTCATTTATTTGTAAAAAATTGAAAAATTGAATTACCATTTCTCTGCTATTATAGTGCTGGATTGGTACCTGGGGATATAGTGACGCATGCTAATGGCGAACCGATGCTGGATTCGAACAGTCTTTATAAAATCATAGAACAACCAGGAACGATGAAATTACAAATTTTAAGAAAAGGGCAAGTTTTAGTTATACAAGTAAAGCCTGAGAATATATATTAATAAATAATTTTTGATTAAATAAAAAATTCTGCAATATATAAATGAATGAAATTTGTAATATTTATAAATGAATTTGTTGAATTTTTCATATGAATACTGTAATATATATCTTATTATAAATTTATTAATTGTTGAGCGATTTATATGATATATCAATTTATTTTATTAAATCTTTTTTGCTTTGACAATGTATCGTATAGTTCGTTAGTATCGTTAGTGCCTTTAATGTGTTCCGAGTGCCGAGTTTATCCATAAAAAGAGCACCACAATAAAGAAGAAAAGACAAGAATCACGTTTATCGTTTAGCGCACTTTATGCCTGGTGGGCCGGTTCATCAGTCACACCATCGAGCCTTCAGTATACACGCCTTTTGGTTGTACATCCATTTTAATTTAAATATACACGATAAAGGACCACTTAGCGACTTATGCAATTTATCAAGTGAGGAAGCGTTCATTTATTCACTTATCCGCTTTATCCGACATTTTTCGACCGCCACGAAGAGCGATATCACGTCGCGCGGATAGTCGCGTCGAGTCCTTGCCGTGATATGCGTACATACGCGCGAATGCGAGTCTCACATGTTACGTATATGCGTGCATACGTGTGTTCATGCGTTCGTGAGAGCGAGCGAGCGAGTGAGTGAGTGAGTGAGCGCTTATGCACGCCGGGTGTGGTCCACCGGCTCGACTGCATTATGTTTATGTTGTTTACGACGTAAGGCGACCTCCGCAAATATGTGGCCGGATCTCGACGGCGGTCGACGCGGCGAGATGCGTGGGTGTGGTTTCGCACATGGAGCTTCCATCGCGGCGGCGATTTTTCCGCGGGGATGACTTTACTGTCCGCGGACGCGTGCATCTTGTTGGAATTCTAAATGGTCATCCCGTCGGGACGTAACACCGAGCGTCCGCGAAGGATCGGTGAAAGGAGTGAAGGAGGAGGCGGCTCGACGATCCCCTTCGCGCAGACTTGAGAAATATCGCCGATACCGACAAACGACCGTGATCTTGTACGCGGCGATGATAAATAGCGATTAACTTGACCTTGATAAGAGAATGATAAGAATGGGAACTCGACGAGGACAGCGCGTTTCGAGAGATCTGACCAACAGGATGCCTATTCCTTTTGAAGTAAAATTTTAATTCTTTTATTAACAAAAGTAACGAGACATTATTTTCGCTAATTTTTTAGCTTTACTAAAAAGGAAAATTAAACTTTAGAAATTTAAAGTAGAAATGCACGTAAATATTCTAAAAAATTCTTTTTTAAAAATAATTTTTATAATTGAGATGAAAAAAATAAATATTGATGTTCGATCGCTATTGTACTTATTAAAAATTCTCATGATTAATTTCGAGCAAGTTGTAGAAGAATTCTAATTTGAGGATTAATAATTGAAGCATTTAATTTTCATGCTTGAAGTGAGAGAAATGAGATAGCACTGAACTGAAAAAAATACGAAGTGGTTGGTTCTTTTTCTAACGAGGAATATTGTCCTTTAATTAAACAAAATACATTTATCTTCTTGAATTTGCATTGAACGGAGAGAGATAATTATATGCATAGGTAATTCCTTTCTGCATATTTCGAATCGAACTTCGCAGATATAATTACATTACGTATACCATTACAAATAATTTCACAACCGCGAGACCATGAATTTCTATATATTGTCACAGATGAAAAAAAAACAAGAGAAAAAGGAAGGGCTGGAGAAAAAGAAGAACCGCCGGTCGGTGCGTTACTTTGAAGTCACGCTGAATCGCAAAGGGTTAAGGAAATAAGAGGTGCCTTGACCTACGGTGCGCAGCAGCACGGAGGAGAGCAGCGCGAGCGAGCGCGAGTAATCGAGTGTTTCTGCCGACCGTGTTCACGGTCCGACCATTATTGTCTCCCGTCCTCTCCGCCCTCGATGGACGATCTCTCTCTCTCTCTCTCCCTTTATCTTCTCCCGCCGTTTTTCTTTTTCCTCGTCGCCCTCTTCGTCTTCCCAGTCCTCGGGTTGCTCGTGTCGACACGCGGGAGCCTATTCCCTGATTATCCACGCTTTCACGGACTATCCTCGCCTACGGACACCAACACTCGCGGTGTCTCTCCCGGTCTCTCCTACGTGATACCGCGGTTGCCGCCTGTTGGCTGCTGCTGCTGTCGCTGGTAGCGGTAAATAGAGGGCAAATCCTAGCGGAGACGCGATATCTCGCGAAGATCCGCGCCCACGGCCGCAGGTCTCTCGTCGCGATCGCGGCGCGGACGATGACCGGAAGCGGAGAAGAACCATGGCACCTGAAAGGTCACGGCCCGCCGTTACCTCGCCCGCGCCTTGCTTGGACTCGCCTCGGAAAGGCGTGTCCCGTCGGATTAGCTTGTCCCTGCGAAACGGTGCCCGGAGGTGGGAGGAATGAGGAAGCGGGAATGCTTAGATATATTGACAAACAAAACGCGTCGCGTCCCGTGAGAATTCTGCACGGAACCACATGCTCGAGAGAAAGAGAGGCCGCGGCGCATCCGGGTTGGGACACGGCGAGATTCCCCGCGACTGAATCTCGGCGTCGATCGCTCCCTTTAGAAGCAAGAGTAAGGAATCTTGCCGGACGCCGATATTAAAAGTCGACTGTAAATTGCGCGCGATGTCGACGCGCACGTGCGCTTGGGCGTGAATTAAGTGCCGTCGCGCGGTCCCCGTTGCTGTTTGAAATTCAAAATAATACGCGCAGGTAACTGACCATCGTATTATGGAAGTTGTATTTCCCCGCTTATCGTAACGTTCTCCTATTTATATCGCGTTTGTGCGCCGGGCATAACGAAAAAATCGCACGAGCACCATTGCGATCCGAGATCGAACGCGATATTCCGCGAATACTGTACCCGCCCACGTTTTCTTACATTCCGATTTTTCATCGTGATACGGCCGATGACTAGAAAAATGAGATATCTTCCACTCGACGCTCAGAATCGAGTTACTCGATCGCGAGAGATATGAATCTCATTAATGGAACGATTTCAGCCTTAGGAAAGAATAAACAGAATTAATTAAACTTTAGAAGGAAACAGAAAACAGAATTAATTAAATTTTAGAAGGTTCCGCGTTTCTTTTTTTAATCTTGAAATTATCAAGTGTTTTTCTGGAATTCTAGAAATATATGGCTTTTGCTCTGTTTTCACGCTATAAAATCTTTTATCTTTATACGTGACTTTTAATAACTGTTTTGTTGTCAAAGTAAAATATTTATTACATTACAAATTGATATTTTCATTAAAAAATGTACCTCCCGTGAAATTACTGTGGTGTTAAATAAATATTAAAGGACGAAATTTAAACCAATACCTTTAGTTAAATAGCATTTGTTATTTCCAACTACCATTTGTGTTGAAATTTATTATTTTAACACAAAACAGTTGTTTTAATTCCATTGGTTAGTTAAATTGGTAGTTTAATTAACATATTGTTTTAGTTAAATTAACGACATATTGAATAGGAGCTATAGCAATGGCGATCTATAGGAATGATTAAAAACAACTCAAAATGAAATAATTTGATATTACGAATTTAACAGCGTGAGATTACACAAAGATTTCATGTAGCTTACATTATATATGTCTAGCAATCAAAAAAAGAATTAATAGACTTAAAATCGATTATTCGCATTGAAATATAGGGATATCGAACCAAAAAACATGGATAGCGCAATGATATGAGGCATAATCGCCTCTAATTAATTGTAATCCGCGTTAATATCACGTAACGCATTACGATTCCGCTTGCATTACGTGACCGCTTGCACTTGAAAGTCCATGCTCCCATATGCTGCTCTTGGGGGAAACAGAATGTATGCAAATACTCGATCGCGGTGTCGGGTTTACACATCGCGACAGTGGACAGGTTGATTCCCCGCGCCAACCCTTTATGTCATTATAATACTCGCCTCGAGGCGTGCGCGGGTATCATGTATGCCGCGTGTGCGCGCGCGCGCGGGTCCGGGTCATCGAAATCGCCGAAGACCGCGCCAAGGACGAGGGTCGGTACACGATTTCATTGTGCCCAGAGGAGGGATTCCTGGACGTCTGCGGTCTGCGGCCGTGGAAAAAAAAGGGGGGTAAAAAGGCCGCGGCAGGCGAACAATTCCGCCGAACACGAGGCTCGTCGCGGCCCTGATCAAGGCCAATCGGAGTTACTCGCGATTGAAAAATCGTCGACATACTGCCGGCGCGATCGTCAGGTACGATCTCACTTCTAATCACGCGCGTAAATCGTAGCTTTGCGAAGAGGAAGAAGCGAAACCGCGTGGTCGCGTTTCAGAGGGAAATTATTGGCAAGGAAGGACCTGAGATTTGTGCGATCTTGATTTGCATTTTCGTAATAAAACTGGAATTTAAATACAGGTGGATTGTTTGCCTGTCCTCAATCGTATATAGGTCCGATAATACGAGAGCCTAAGGATCTAAGGGCCTGATGCATTTTGTGTATTATAATTAAGGTAGTTCGATGATGAACAACTTTTGCCAAAAGTGATAGGTTTTATTTTTTATCGAAAGAAGAAACTCTCCTGAATTGATTAAGCCTGCAGAAAAAAGATAATTCACCGTCCCGTTCTCGAGATATTTAATTTCAAAATTAGGTGATTTTAATGATTTTAACATTGGTCTTATAGGAAAAGAGGTATTTTCCCATGAATAACACGAGTTTGCAAAAAATCCTTTGCCAAAAATGTCCGAACAATATATATCGATGGAAAGAGGACACTGTGAGGAAGCCTATAGTTGAAGGTGAACACGATTTACCGTACAGTTTTTTTTTTAATTAATAATTAAAGTTGAAAATTAGTCAAGCGACGCGTTAACACACACTTTATTTTAATCTACTTCAGGCAAAATATTATTCTACTACGTAAAAATTACTTACTAATGGTCTTTTCACGTCGTTACGAACTTTTGCGATGCGTTATCCCATTTTTTTTATAATCATATAAATAAAAAAAATCCTAAACATTGTTTTGACTTCGGCCCTTCATCATCGAACTATCTTAAGTGTCCGACGAAGCGTTTCGTGCGTCGCTTTAATTTCACTGTATTAATTATACATTTAAACACAATTATTACACACAATTTATTGTGACCATAATGGAGAGTAATGTGCAGGCGTCAGGAGGGCACTACATAACAAGTACAAAACCTTTAACAACGTACGAACTTGTTGCTGGTATAAATACGCGATTTCTTAAATATACGGTGCTCCGCGCTGGAAGAAGCAATAAGAGGAGCAACAAGTCAGGCTCTAGCCTCCTCCCTCGGCGCACCATCAAGAAAATTAAAGGCATGTTACTTGATCCTGTTCGCAAACTTATGACATGTATGAGTTTCGATTCAGTATGCGCTTTATTAAACCGCGCGCATTAAACCTACGGAACAAGCTTCATCTCAAAAGCAAATACGAGCGCGCGCGCGCGTATTTATAAAACGAGGCAGCGCAACTGAGAGCGGACCCTGATGGCCTTGATGTCAGCCAATCGTCGAAGCAATTATAATGATAACACTACACTAATAATGAGAACGCGAATCCCCTCTCTCGTAAACTAATGAAACCACTTTTCAAACGATCTTCCAGTAGAAGAAAGAAAGTTTTCTGAGGGAAACACATCTTCCAGGGCAGTTCGAAGAATTCGAAAGACATATCCGCAGTTCCCTGAAACAACTTTTCTCTCGGATCTTTACATTTCTTTGAATTATCACAAAGGTAAAGAATCCGTTGTAACCAGAACAAGGCTCTCGCGCAAGAACCTCATTAATGTGCGTCACAATGTTGCAGATTAAGCGATCCGAGGTCGAGTATAGCCTCCGGTGCGCGAGAAGCCAGAACTCCCTTCCCCTCCCGGGTTCGAATGGGTTGCAACCGAAGAAATTTCTTCATATCTACACGATTGGGATCGTTGAACGACCTCGAGTAAGCCGAACCAGTTCCGCCTCCCTGGCGTTCTCGCTTCATTCAATTCCCGCCTCATTCTAACGACGCCTCATTATTGTAGTATCGCGTAAAAGTCTCCGCCACCGCGCGTCATAAGGATATAATTACATTTTACCGAAGATTTGTTGCAAATGATTGAACGTTCGCTTCTCCTCATCGTAACATCGCGGCAATTAATCTCGAATCAAGTGGACGGACTGTGGGGATTTTTTATAGAAATTATAACAAGCAGAAGAATGTACAAATCGAAATATAAATTAAGATATAAAAATGCGATAATAAAGATTAAACGTTGATTTTATAAATCGATTAAATTCGCTTGTTAATTTGTTTATTTTTCTACAATGGCACCTTGAGAAAGAGAACGAAACTCCTCCATCGTTCATTTTCGCGGGGGAAGAGCAAGCGTCGAATCCGGTACGCCCGGCTTTTCTCACCTTTACGACGCGCGCGAACGATATCACCATGCCAAAGACGGCCACGATGGGCTTGCAGGGATCTCGACTGATGAGATCCCGTCTCGGGGAACGGATCCGCCTTGTCCTTCGAAGGTTCCTCGGGTTCCTGGTTCGAAGACATCCCGCGCGGCTCGCGTCGCGTATATATAAGTCAAAACCAGATCGCGAGCAAGGTGCACAGCCCGGGCAGTCCTTCAGCCAGCAAGGAGGTCGACGGAGACACACCCGAGCACGATGCAGGCATTGGTAAGCGCAACCTGTCCAGTCTTCCCTTAGTTTTTTTTAAAGCATTTTTATGTCCTTTACGAATTTTCTTACTTCGAAGAACTTTGATTTCTTTTCAATATTGTCTTTTTTTTATTTCTAAAAGTAGAACATCTCGATATTTTGCATCAGGCTAGAACAGAATTAGCTCGTGATAAGTTATACATTTTGCTTAACACTAGAACTACCAAAGCAGTCAAAATGCACCATTATAAATTTGAGTAATTTTTTTAAAGTTTTTTTAAATTATAATAGTGCATTTTCTGAGATTTTCTGTAGTTCTCGTTACAATATGTAAATGATTAAATTGATTGGTTTACTTTTTCTATTATCCGTTTCTTTTTTCAAAGATATATAGGATATAATATCTGATATATATAATATCTAATGTGGCGATCGTGGAGTAGAGAAATGTCTCTATAGAAGCTGTTCGGAATTGACGTTAAACTGTAGATCTCATATATCTAATGCATAGATATATAGAGGGGTCACGAAATCGAGCAATATGACTGAAGAAGAGGGAAATATATATGTCAAATGTAACTCAAATGTACATTACATTATTACCAAATAAAACTGTATACTCTCTTGATATATTGTACATATGAACGTGGTGTACAGTTTTATTTGGTAATAATGTACTGTACATTTGAGTTACATTTAATATGTGGTATTTTTAATTTAAAAAGACTTCAATTTTAACATTTTACACGTTTATCAGCATTTATTTTATTTTTATATAACTTTAAAACTGTATTTTCCGTTTAGGGCCAATTTTAGTGTGCACCACCCTATACATAGTATGCTTACATTATAGAAATTAATCGTCGGTTCTAATGTTAAACAAATTGTATGGCAAGAAATCAATTCTTTAAAATAGCATTTGTTAATTTATTTTTAAACTGCTACTGCTTTCATATCTATATCTATGTATAAATGAAAAATTGCAGAATACAATTTTTTTAGATAAATTTCTGGCTTATTGTGCGTGATGCTAAAAGCGAAGTCTCGAAGTCTTTATTACAAACGACATCGCGTTAAACAGCGGCTGTTCGGGGGAGCGAAACTTCTGCGGGAATGATATATGAGCGTTATAATTTATTTGCAGGGGTTGCTCTTGCGCGAGGTCTGCCGGCCTACTCGCTTTTTGTCGAGATATAAAAGCGTTGAAAAATATACGCGTGTAAAGTCCGCGGTACGAGAGCGCGACCACCGCGCGCGTTTTACGGCGGCCACGCCAAATGGCAATCTTATCCAACACCAATATGGGAGTAGAACCCCCCCGCTGTTTTTGCAACGCGAGCTTTTTCTGGCCGGCCTTGCGGGGTACAACGTTACAACTGTTTCGCGAACTTTTTGCTCCAACATTTATAGTCGGCTTAAATTGCCAGACACTCCGCAGACACGCTGCGGACAACAGTTTCGAAGAATCCGCTTCTAGAGTCGCTCGTTTTAACGAACATGGAAATCTCAAGTTTCAAGCGTGTAAATTAATACAATCTGAAATGTTTCGTTAATCCACACGAGTTTCTTTCGCGATACATCATTTTGTTTGGCAATTATGTGCAACTACTTATTTAACGATATTTATTTAACTCTACGTGTTACCTCTTTGTAGCAGACATTCAGCTAACCGCATTCAATTATTTTAATTAAACTTGTTCTTCGAAATACTTTTATTCATTGGTTCGTGATTTGTCTCTCATTTGTCGAATAAAGCGTTCCAGCTTTGCAGATCAAATTCACAGATGAATTTACAAATAAGTTCTCGCTTGATCGCACCCGCTGATAAGATGCGCTCGCATCGACGCGGAGCAGTTTAAAAGGAAAATACAGATCGGAGTCGTCGATTCTTTTCTTCTTCTTGCGGCTCGACGCGTAAAGGGTCTACCGCGCTCTATCACTTTCCTTCTTACTCCACCGAACGGGCGGTTCGTCCTCTTCAGACCATATTGGACCGCAAGAAGAGGCTGAGGTCTCCCGAGAGGCTCATGCAAGTATAAACTCACCCCGTCCCACACTCGCTTGCCTGCCTGCGGAGGTGCTCCCCCACGCTACCGATACCGATGCGGGCGCAAAAATTCGTCGGACATTTCGTCGCCGCGGCGGTGAACTCGAGAAGTCCTCTCTCTCTCTCTCTCTTTCTCTCTCTCTCGTCCTTCCGAGAACGAAATTCCCGACGCGGTAATTCTCGCGATATTCTACGGGAACGTATGTCCCGAGAAGCCAGCTAGTTGCGCGAGTAAATCCACCGACTCGACGACTGCATGCGAAATGAGCGTTCCGAGGGCGAGTGCACTCACGATTTGCATTTGTTACCGGATAAAGCGCGCTCGACCGAATTTTCTGCGGTACGTACGCGCGTATAATGCATCGTATTTGCGTATTTGCTGTATCTATCCCACCGGCGGATCCGCGATATCGAGTAACGGGATATATCGTTCACGGAACTGCGCCGATGTCGTTCTTTAATCCCAGGAGTCCCAGGACGATCGTAGGGATGTCGGAGTTCTATCGGCGAACGGCGGGCGAAACAAGCACGTCGATAGAACACGTACAATCGCTTTGCAATTTTAGCCCGGCATGATCCCGCGCGGCGAGATAGAGAATAAAGACTGTACTCTCGCGCCGGATCGTAAGAAAATCTCGATCGAGGAGGATGACGGTTTCGAAAAATGGCTTATGCGTTGCGAGAATCATCTCGGGCGCTCAAACGCTTCTGTATTATTCCCTAGTAGGTGAGAGAGACTCGTTTTAAACCCCGCAGATTCCAGTTTTCGCGATTCTCGGTGCGGCGGCGGCAGCGGGCGCGCAGCTGACCCTGCTGCCCTACGCCTATCTGGCGGATCCGCTTCCGGTGTACCATCAGTCGCAGGACACGCGCGCCGGGGTGCACGCGTACAGTTACGCCGGCGGCCCGTCCGCCAAGGAGGAAGTCCGGGGTCTCGACGGGGTCACGCGCGGCTCCTACAGCTACGTCGACGCGCACGGTATCCTGCAATCCGTCTTTTACGTCGCGGACGAGGGCGGCTTCCGCGTCGCGGCGACGAATCTGCCTACGGACGACAATTTGCCGCTCGAGCCCGGCGAGCTCCTAACAGCCAGGTACGCCTACTCGCAGAAACACGCGAGGGCCGCAGGAGGGGAGGAGGTGCACCTGCAGGCGAGCGGGGCGAGCCGCAGGAAGCGCAGCCTAGAGGCATCGGCCGACGATCAAGATCGTCATCAGACAGAAAATCCGAGTTCCCAGGGAGATCAGGCCGATCAGAGCTCGGCGGCGATCGCCTCGCCGAAGAGTTCCCACGAGCTTCCAACGCCGGACGAGGAAAAATCCAAAGGTCGGGCCAATCGTGCCGCCGTAGAGGCCGTCGTCGCGCCTGTATACGGCCTGTTGGACTCGGTTCTGATTCCGAGATTGACCGGCGCGACGACTTCTCAACAGAGCCGCGTCGATGTTCACAATAACGTTCGTTTGAAGGCCGCTCAACTCGTCAAGACCGCCGGAGTCTTGTCGGAACCTGTCTACGAGACGACGGTGATCCTTCCCAGCCAGGTGCTCTTGGCCACCTCGCAGCAGAGTCGCGTCCAGGTGCACAACAATCTTCGCGTCCAAGTGCCGGAAGAGCCAGTCGTTAACGCAGAAACGATCGGAATCGAACCAGGGCAGGTGGTGGTAACGACCGCCATCGAGCCGCTCATCTCCGCTTTTCCTGATTACAACGAAAATCGTATCCAACTTCACAACATTCTCGGATTGGAAGGCCCAAATCGCAAAGACACCGTGAAGATCGACAGGCCGCTGCCGATCGCCGGGACGCCGATTGTCACCAAGAAAGCGATTCCAGTCGTCACCAAAGACGTACCTCCGGTCATCACTAAAGAGGCACTTCCAGTCGTCATCAATGAAGCGATTCCAGTCGTCACCAAAGACGTACCTCCGGTCATCACCAAAGAGGCACTTCCAGTCGTCGTCAATGAAGCGGTTCCGGTTGTCATCAAAGACGTACCTCCAGTCGTCATCAAGGAGGCACTTCCGATCGTCGCTAACGAAGCGGTTCCGGTTGTCACCAAAGACGTATCTCCAGTCGTCATCAAGGACGCACTTCCGGTCGTCACTGCCATCTCCAGTCAGAGCAGGACCCAGATCCATCGCAATACCAAACTCGAAGCAGTCATACCGATAGTGAGCGAACCGACCGTGTACTTGGCAACTTCCTACGCTCGACCGATCTCCACCTGGCCGATCTTAGCACCCGTCGCTCAGTCCTCTCAATACCGCCGTCAGATACACTCGAACGAGAAGCTCGAACTGGCAATATAAGGATTTGGTCGTTTCGCTCGCTGATATCGCGAGAATTTTCTTCGCGCGTTTGTATTTATTCTCATGGGTAATTTTTGATAAATCTTTGCATAACATTCTATTTGAGTGATATCTTGATAAACAATATAATTTCTTTAGTTTGACTCTTTTCGAGATAGATTAAATACTTTATAAATATTTCTGTAAACAATTAATCTTTATAATTTGTAAGCTATTTTTCTATCTCTCGACAAAAGCAGTCGTTAAAATTAATATAATTATATTTTATTGCAAATTGTAAGAAAATATCTAGGTTTTAAAGAGTCAAAATAAAACGCGCGCGGATAAGTCATTTGCATCGTGCTCAAATAAGAATAAAGCATTTACATCTTCAGCGAGAGTTCCATGAACGACTGATTGATGACAAGCTCGCTCGCGGTAGCTCGCACCATGGACATCATTATTATTAATCCTCGCCTTGCGTTCATTTATCCTGTAACGATCATCATACAAACTTGTATTAAATTATTGTACGATTATACGATTCTCGCATTTATTAAAAACATATTGTCAATCTTGTGTGCAGATTACCTTTCTGTTTTAATGCGTGTATACATTATCACCTTTCTCATACGCAGATATTAATGTTAAGCTTATTACATATTAATCTCTCTCGCTCGAACACGCGGCATAATGTCCGATAATGTCAATCCGGGCAAGAATTTAAATTGATCTGTTCTGCGAGAGTGTGGCGAGCGGATCTCCGGTCTCGAAGGTCGGAAGGAATAACCGGCCGCGTATTTATTGCAAATCGGGAAGAAATCGCGCCGTTTAATTAGCCACTTTGAGCCCAATTCGTTTCCTTCGAACATACGCGAAATTTACATCGCGATCCCGGGAGGTGTTGGTATTCTTTTACGACCGATCATTTGTCGTCGTCACTCTACGCCCGATATGGAACTGAAATCGCGGCCTTGACTTTGGATTCTTACACCGTCGCGCGAATATATATTGCGGCGTTAAAACTTTCATGCGCGGATATCGCGTGTCCGTCGAGTAACGACGAGATTAACGGCAGGGATTCGCCAATATGCGCGAGTGAATCCAACGCGTGTGCGCACTTACCCGCGTTCTTATGACGGAGATTTTTCCGAGTCGCGCATTCGCATGTCGGGGCAGAGGCATCTGACAGGATTATTTTCCGCAGATGGTACTGAGCGCTCCGTACGTTGGATCGAGTTTTACGAGCGAAATGTAAGAACAAGGAGAACGTTTTATGGAGATGTGAATATCGATTCATTCCTACTTGCTTCTCAAATTTTTAAATATTGTACATATCTCAAAGAATAAATATTAATATATTACAGAATGAATAAAGTAATTACGATGTAAATTCTTATTGCAAAGATACGAATTTCTATCGTACGACGATTGCAGATTGATTTAAAAATCCGAGAAGCAGGTAAGCTGGAATGAATCGCAATACAGGGACATTTGAACGATGTCGAAGAATAGAAATTTGTAACTTCGCAGTGTAGGAATTTCTACTATAATTACTCTTTATTCATTTTTTAATATATTGATGCAGAAATTGATGCATATATATATTGTAATGCGAATGGATATCTGGACACGACGCGACGCGCTCGTCCCAAAAATAAAGGAAGACGGAGGCATTCACGGCATTCACGACATCGCATCGTAAATGTTTATACATGACTGTTCGTGAAACGACAGTCCGCGGATTAGGTCAACGAGCAGATAAACGAGCGTCCATAGAGGTAAGAGGGTCGCGATTTAAGATCGGAATCTGATCGGGAGGGGACACCCGCCAACGAAATCTGGCATAAGATCGCGCTCTCGTTACTTCGCACGAACCCGTTTTCTCGTACGCGACTCACGTGGGTTATTTTCGCGGGTGTTGCATTATATGCACGGCACATGCGTGAGTGCGTGGGCACGCATAACGGATGGCTCGCGAGAAGGCCGTTGAAACGCTTCGTAGATTATGCCGATCTCGCGTCGGACGCATTACGGGCGCGTAGTACCTAGTAATATTCCTTTATTGTCGAACCACGTTGCCGCCCTTCGTATTAGCCTTAATAAAACGCCGTATAAATTCTCGGGAGGTTCTTTTTTTCTCGCCAACGCGGGGATAACCCCGCGTGTATCTGTAGCGCGGCCGGGAGAGTGTGGTAAATGCGAAATAATAATGGTCGCCGTAAATCACGCGCGGTTCCAATATTTCTATCGGGACCGGAGAGCGCGAGGAGATAAATGTAGCTCAATACACGATGCAGAAATGGGATTGCCATAAACCCGCGGGTACTTTGTCCCTTAGGATATTATATTGTCCCGTCCTGGAGGAAACGAACCGATATCTGGATCAGAGTTTCAGAGCGGCTTCGGAGTATTATCTCGCAGGGGGGGGGGGATGACCGTAAAACAGACATATATTAGATTAAAGAAATATAGTTCACATTAAATCACATATCGGGACGTTACGGGATAAGCGAGCAGGATTTCGATTCTCTCGATGAAAATCCGGCTTTCCTATAAGTGATCGTTCTAATCGGTTCCGTTCTTCGCATCAAAATTCGAGAGTCGCGTATTAATTTACTTTTAAATGTGCAATTTTTCGTAGCATGACTGCTTACGGAATCCTAAAAAAAATATTTAAAACAATTTTTCTTTATTAATTTGAAGAGGTGGCAGCCTTCCATCTAGAAAACTCAAACGACCAATAGAGGAGGCCCTTCACAGACGTGCAAAGCCGCGCGTTTTCAGTTCGAACATTATAAGAGATATTACATGGAGTATCGAAAAGTCGTTTTGCATATATGCAAAGCTGCGCGCTTAAGGGTTAAAACTCACGGCCGGGACGCGATATCGGGATCCATCTCCCGGGAAAATCGCCTTTCGTCCGGCGCGGCGCGAGGCTCCGCGATCGCGATGGCGGAGGTCGCGGTGGAACGCACGAACAGACGAACGGACGAAGGTGGGAAGGCACGACGATTCACACTCGCGATAATAGAAACGTCCCAGCACGTAGCGTACGTAGGCACACATTCGCGCCGATAAAAGCCGCGCATACGTTACCTCGCGCCCGCGCGCGGATGGCCCGCGCCCGATAAAGTGTCTCGGATAATGATTTCCGAGACGTTCGGCCCGCGCGTATACGTATATACAGGCCAGTACCTCGATTGTTTCGCGTCACGCTAGATGTTTACGCCCGAGATTGCATTTCCGCGTGCGTTCATCCGAAATAGAGCCCGCGCGTAAACGTGCATCCCTCTCCTCTCTCGAGGTTCGATGTGGCTGGACATAAGCCAGTCGAGGAATTCCAATCAATGAGTAGATTGCCAGAAACGCTCTTAGTAGAAAACGTAGTTAATACTGATATAGTATATATAACATTAATTACAACATTAATTAAAAGAAAGAAGCTCTTCGAAAGATAAACACAACTTGTACACGGAGAGACTTTTTTTATTATATTTTACCGGAAATTCACTACGTTAAATTCACTAAAAACTTGAGACAACCTGGCAACCAATGAAATATTATCGGTATAAATAATGGGAATTTTTGAAATATATAAAATTTTACAAACAACGTAATAAAAAATACCAAGCAGATTGGTAATTTTTGAAAACTTATTGAAATTTTACTAGAGGAAAGTCCCCTATTATGAGATCTATTTTGCGTGGTTGCCGAAAGTTTATGTGCATAATTAAAAACTGTAGGCGAGTACACGCACAATCGAATAATGAATTTTCCACTAAATAGGTTTTACTCTAAGGGCAAGTTCATGATGGAGCCAACAGATAGAACCTATTAGTTTAGCAGAAACCTCGCTATCGCATATTACACTGAAAGAAAAGATTGGTTACGTCAACCAAAATTGGTTGACGCAACCAATCTTTTCTTTCAGTGTAGGAGCCTATCTCGTAATAGGGGACTTTCCTTTATATATTTTAGTGAAATTAATCAAACATATTTTATATTTTATTGCAATAGATATTAGTATTTTTTATTATAGTAGATATTAATTACACAGAATAGCTTGCATACAATTCTTCATAATACATGTTATCCCACAACTACCGTGATTTTCAGGGTAAATTCTAAGAGAAAATTCTCTCTGTGTACCGTTTATACAAATTAATATATTATACAAATATTAAATTAATATATTATTATAATTAATTAATATAAAATTCAGAAAAAATATCTTAAACACGAGTTCTAATGCGCTGCTACGATTGCATCATATTACAACGATTAAAAAGAAATAAGTGAAATTTTAACAAGGAAACTTACTTATAAGTTTTTTAATTTTATCAAATAAGCTGTATATTATATGCATAATTAATTAAAGTCGACTCGTGTTGCTCGGCGAATTCAGCTGCGTGCTATCCGCGTGCGTTTTTTTATTAGCATGAAAAAATCGTGATAACGGGACGAAAAGAAGAAACGCTTCTGCACACGCTGCAATTTCTGCGAGTCAAGCCTACGATGCCGGTGATATGAGAAAATTAATCTTACGTGCGCCTTCCGCAGACAATCTCACGTCACGATCTATGTGTGATCCACTTTTCCTTATCTACGGTAGGAAAATTTCACGTTGGAATCTCGTCGGTTATCTGCTCTGGACAGTAATTATACTTCAAGTCGCGATTTCCACGGTGAGCGTTAACATTTTACGTCGATTCTACGAAGATGATTGTTTCGCAGCAACACAATTTTTTGTTCGCCGTAAGAAATGAGTAAACTCTGTTACAAACACGTTCTTGAGAGAAAATGTAGTTATAACATCGATATCAGTAATCATAATTAAAAGAAGAAAGTTTTTTTAACCTTTCGACTCCTAAGCGGGGCGAGCTTTTGCCCCATAAATTATTTTTTAAGAATAATTCTGCCAGAAAATTTTTATAAATTTTGTGGATTTTCCTAATTTATTTTTATGTTACAAGTTTTTATTTCAGAAAAATAAATGTACAATATATACAATTTTAAGAAGATATACTTATTTATTTGGGACGAGCCATTCGCCCCACTTGGGAGATTGTCTTGGAAATCAGCATGGGAGTCGAAAAGTTAATCAAAAGAAGATACAAATATACTTATAGTCTTCGTTAAATTAATATATCATTGTAATTAATTAATATAAAATTGAAAAGAAATAGAGTCTTAAACGCAAGTTCTCACTCTGGACTTCACACATCCCGCATTTCTGCTTCTGTAGGTATACGCTTAGACCGTTCTCCTTAATGACAAATAGCAACGATGAATATCTAACGCTAATAACGAGATAACTATAATATTTGCAACGCCGACGTGGGATATTAAGCGAGATATCGGGGATAGTTTCACGCATTACGACGGAATATTTAAGTATCGATCGATCTTAATTGATCGCGCTCGTTCTCCGCCGCGCGGGGCCAGCACGCGCAACCTTGCAACGCTTATCGGTATACGTGCGCGCGCGTTAAAGCCTCTCCTCTCGTGGGAGGCCAAGCCGATAAAAGCGGCCCGGAGTAGCCGGAGTGACCGGGCAATCAGCAAATGGAATCGTTAGTTAGTCCCCGTAATCTTCGATCGGACGTTAGTTCCTCCTTGTAGTACACGGCGATCGTGATTCACGTTCGCGTCCGAGCCACGCTAGGATCCGCGCGCCCCTGTGTTTATCGTCGTGTATAAACGCGCCCGCGCTAATTAGCATATTATTTATCGCTCCTTTTATAATTGCCCGCGTGAATTTTGCGACGCAAAAAAATGATCGCGCGCGCGCGTCGATTTATGCCGGGAGCCTAATTTGATTTCGCTTTTCGCTCTTTTAAGGTTCTACGTGCTCGCGCTTTGTATTTAGGCGTGCGTTCGCGTTCTCGCGCGCCGATAACGAAGCGCTACCGTATTTATTGAGAAATCGTATTGTCGCACGCATACGCGCGTACATAAATATCCCGTGTGTTAGAACAATTCACGAGCTACGTCATCGGTGTGTTCAACGGAATTATTTAGTTCCCAAAATCGGGTATCTTCAACGGCGCGATGCGCACGAATGCGGGGAGATATCGCGAGTTATTCAAGCCGACTGATCTTCGGGGAAGATTTTACGGGCCGTGCTCGTAAATCAGGTCGTTCCTGCCAGCGCGAGACAGCTTTTACTGACGCGAAGAGGGATGCGACAGGGGGAATGTGTGCGCGCGCGGCGAAACGTCGGACCTATTTGTATTTGATATGTCGCTGGCGCGATGTGCGTCTCTCGCTTGGATCAAAACTGGCGTTGCTTTCTTGCCGTATAGCG